CTATGGTTTCATTATAGTACATTTACACTGTGGTTTCGACCCCCCTTGAGAGGGATGGCCGCCAGGACATTTCTGCTAAAGATCAGATATGGCCCTAACCTCCCCTTCCCAACGTATGGGAAGACAGTGCCAGGTGACTGGAGAATCCTTGAACAAAGACCGCCCCAACTGTGAGCCTTCAAGCTAAATACAGATAAAGGGAGAACGTACCCTTAACACCCCCCCCCCCCATCCCGTTGCCACCTCCAGGCCTGACTGCTTTCCTGTCTTTTCTCTTTAACTGCTATTAAATTCTTACTTGAGAGTTTGGCTCTGAATTCTGTCTTGGCGGAACCGAGGTGGGCCTGGAGGCAGGGAAGGGATCCACCCTTGACATTTTCAGTTTTGATAAAGCTTGCTTTTATGGCTTAAGGCTACAGTAAAATTATGGTAAAAGTCACATGTGTACCTAAATAAGGCTTTTGTGTTACTGATAAATTCACTGTTCTCTAGCTATTGTGTCAATTCTGCCTTTGTTACTGTGCAAATCTCATAACCTTACTGATTTTTCTGCTTTCTTTATGAAAGTTTTGAGAACACTGTCTTAAAATAGTCTCTTACTTTTGAGAATTTCCTAGGGTTTTTTGTTTAATTTTTTTTTAATTTTTAAAAATTAATTTTGCCAATTTCCAAAAATATTTTGAGTATGTTATTTGTTGCACACTAATTTTGCATTTAAATTCAGGATGGTGGACTATTTTCATATTATGAAGTTTCCCTTTTTCTCAAATAATACTTGCATTCAAGTCTATTCTGTCTGATACTACTTTGATTAAGGTATGCTTATTATAAATTTTTAAAAACATATTTCTACTTTCAATATTTTTGTATCCCCATGTGTAAGATGAATCTCTTAAAAGAAGCATAAAGTAGGCTCTGCATTTTTTTTTAAATAAACGCTGACCATCTTTGTCTTTTAACTGAGATTTTTGTCTTTTCCCATCTTATGTAATTATTAATATAGTTGTATTTGAATCAACAACATGCTGGTAAATGTTTAACAATCATCTTTCAAAAATTATATATATATATAATTATTTTATGAATTGTACTAGTGTAAAAATATGTAGAATACAATTTTTAAATGATTCTAAGTTTTAATACTGAACTATGCAAAACAATAAATTGCACATAGCCAATTTATTCTCACTGGATACCATCATTGTTTTTTGCCAAACTGTCATGTCTGCAGCCAAATTATGACTGCAAATGATGAAAAAGTATAATTCCAACATAAATGTTTGTTGATATTTTTGTGTTATGAGTAAGACAAAGTGTAACAAAAAACATATGTCAGAACTTCACTCTTGTCAATAATATGAACAACTTCTTTGCTGAATTAAATGATAGTTTTTGAACACTGGAAGAACATTTTCTTAAAATTTTGTGCTATTCACAATGAATACAGACATGACACACTTAAGTTTAATGTGCATTATTGTCACATTATTGTCATTCTGAACAACCAGTAATGCAATAAATTAAGCCCCGATTTGTATCATTTGTTACTTTTTGTGTTGTAAAGACTCCGCCATGGCAGATTTCAAGCTATTGACATGATGTCACTGACCATGGTGTTGCCAAGTAAGTGCAGTAGCAAACCATTTAACATCACATTTCCACCAAACAGATACAATAGATGTTAAAAAAACAAAAACAAAAAGAGAAAGAAACCTAAAGGTTACAATGAAGAGTAAACTGTAGTAAAGTAATTGGAAATTGTGGAGTCTAAGTTGTGGTGTTTGCTCTATTTGACATTTTTCTCAGTTTTTATGATGTGAGAAACAGATGACTGAACTTTTTCATAATGTGACAAGTTTTCTCCATATGCTCACATGTTGCATGTCATGAAGAAAACATTCTGAAATTCTGAATTTTTTGGTAAATATCTTATTACGCTTCCAGTCAGGGGAGAGAAATATCCCATTCAAGTATGATGGACTACTTCAAGAGTTCAGTGTGGTCTGTCACAGATGTTTAAGATGACAAACTTCTTTTGCCTTAGAATAGTACTGAAGTCACAAATACAATAAAGACATCATTTTTTTTTTTTTAGGACCAAGTACATTTGTAAAATTGTTTTAGTCCACAAAATGGTTTAGGAGCAATTTGTCAGTTGAGCCAATGTGATTAGACATTCAATTTTATGACTATTATCTTCCTTTCCCAAATAAACAAAATAATTAGAGAAAACAGTGAGGTCACAATCCATTTAATACTCAGAAAACCTTCCTGTTGATGTAGCTTTAGAACTGGGCAACTGAAGTAACTATCCATCTTGCTTTTAGAGTAATTGCAGTTTAAATGTGATTTCAGAGCAGAACAACCCCCGTAATTAACCACCTTGCTTTTGGAACACCTTTTTATCAGTGTGTGTCTTTGAAGCAGAACTAAAAGGAAATAAAATAATTTTCAGCATACTATTTTTTTTCCTGAAGTAGTTTGTTCCAATTCATTTGCTGAATATAGGACATCCAATGAACCACAACGTTCATGTTACTCTAAAGCACTAAAAGCATGGTTCTGTTTTCCACACTTTATATTCCTTTCACCAAAAAGAGAATTATTGCTATCTACCATTTCCATAAGGTGTGTGCTTCTTCAAGTGTTTTATGAAAGGTTTTATTGTATTTTACTCTTACCAGTCTTGCAAATGAGGCTAATATGATTCCACCCCTTTATTGAGGGGTTCAACATCTATTTCTGTATGTCTCCTTTGAAAAGAACTGAATGTTATGTTTTAGGCATCATTTATATGACGGAATGAATAGGTCACACTGGATAATACAAAGCGAGTGTTACATCTCTGGTATCTTGCACCCCTGACTGCTTGAATTACTCCTAAGACAATGGCGCTGCCCTCCAGGTGCACTATGTCAGGTGTACTGTCTAAGGCTACAATTCTAATCAATGTCCCCTATGTTAATGACTTTGACTTCAAATGAGCTAACAAAATATACTGGTAAGGACCAAAAGGGTTATTTTAGGGCAATTTTTAAAAGTGGAAAACAGAAGAAATTCCTTTCTCCTTGCTATGATATACATTAACTAGTAGGTATTTTTTTAAACAAGTCAGTAAATAAAATGTTTGGATCTCCTAGAGAAAAGAAATATTCAATAAAGTCACTTAATTCAATAAAATTAATACATTTTATTAACTTATTGTTTAATTAGTTGACTTTCAAAATGTTGTATGATCTTCTCATATTGGGCATCATTTTCTGAGAACATTGTTTGTTGAGATGTTGTAGGAAATTAAAAAATTAAGTTAACAGTCCATCCAATAAAATGTAAATTTTCAAAGTTCTGAAAAACTTTTTTGACTCCAAAGTGCTCTGACCAGACGAATATTTAATTTCTTAATTTTAGCAAATACTATCTGAATATCAGATAATCAGATCTGCACTGCAAAGGTATTTCAGTTTTCTGCTGATGAGGTCAATCTCCATCTACAATTAGAAATTTAAGCAATGATTCAAAAAATTCAATGACTCTCCACCCATAACACTGATTTTTAGGGCAGTCAAACAAACTTAATCACTGCTTTTTCCTCTGTCTGTCAAGTAGTAACTTGTTTCCATCCTTTATATGCTAGACAACTGGCAGTAATGATAACCTCGTTCTCTTTCGAGGTTTGAGATGTAGGCATCCTCTGCTCCCTGAAGGAGATGCTATAAGGCAGACTTGTTAGGCAGCTCTCTCAGTGATGGTTGACAAGTTCAGATATGCAAAGGAGTAAGCATTGCCACCAGGAAAATGAATTGGCATATCAAACATACAGTTATGCAAAGGCCCTGTGACCCCGAGAGCCAAACACACACCCCATGGCTCCATCTATAAAAATCCTTTTTCTTAACTCACAAATTCTGTTTCTCCTTCCAAATATTTAAGATTTTCCTGCCCAATGTCTAATAAATCTATGTTCCAGACTGTGTTCTCACAAACATCTCAACACTTGAATCTCACTCCATTCTACTTCATCCACCTGCACAACTTGTCTATGCTAACAGTTTCTAGCTCTTCTTTTGCTCACTCAGTTTTTCTCTATAGGATATAGTAGCGCTTTTTCTTACTTCTCTTCTCATTTTTCTCCCAGTCCTGCGTTACAAAAAGCCCAAACCCTGTTTGCAAAGTTCAAATCAGAAGCAAATGAGTAGGAACTTTAGAAGGTAGGAAAAGGGAAAATGCATTTGTTAATATATTTGTTTCCTTATCAAGGCCAATTGGTGGGGAGAGTATTGGTTTTGTGTAGTGTAGATGGAAATTAAAAAAAAAAAAAGACAAGGAGACTTTTCATTTGGTGACTTACAGTCAAACGAAAAGTCTTGACACTAACAGTTTTGAGGGTCACAATAGATACGCATAATTTTCATGCTGCTAAGGAAAAGAGTACCGGGGTACAGTCCCTATGTCACTATGCAAAATCAGTTTATAATTTCTGTGAACACATATTGGACCTTGGAAATCTTGTTCCCATTCAAAAAATAAAACCTGTAAAACTTTAACATTTACCACCTGATATCAACCTAACATAAGGGGATAAATGGGATTTGGGGTCAAAAGACAGGTTTAATCAGGCCTCTTCTCCATGTTCTCTCTGTGGGTTCAAACAAGTTTCCATTAATTGCTCAAGCAGGTTGCTTAGATGTAATGAGAAATTTCTCATTAACCTTGAAGAGTTGCTGTGAGAGTTAAACATAATGTATATCAAGCATAGGTGCTTAGATACAGAATGTCTATACAGAGTATCTGTAGAGTTAGATACAGAGTATCTAACACTTGCCATATGCTTGATGAATCGCACTAAAATTTCTTTATATATTTGGCTTTTTGACTCATTAATTATATATTTAGGTGTATATGCAAGTTCCTTTATGGGTTCCCTTATTCATCAAGGATACATTTGTTTGACATAAAACATGGGTGCAAAAATAAAGAATACATGTATTTCTCATTATTACCTTTACAGTGGATGTTTCCTTTTTGTTCTTCAAAGAAATCTCTAATGTCTAATGGAAATCTGAAAAGGAAAAGGAAAAGAAAAAAGTGAGCTTGTTAAAGATTACTCACCAAAGGCTGCATGAATGACTATCTCTGTATTATAACTCTAAACACCTTGATGAAAGCTGACATAAGACTTCTTAAAATTAAATTATAAATGTGATTAAGCCAATGATCATTATAAGAACATTAATTAAATCTGCCACTTTGGGCCACATGATCGAATTTTTCTTTAATAAGTTTCATAGGTCAAAAGCTCTCAAATGAGCTAACCAGAAATTTCTGAGCAGGTGATCACATGAACACTCAAAGTCAATCGAGCAGTGCAATATGAAATTAAACTCCGTATTTACACACACATCTTTTATTAGACATGTATTTACTCAAATTACAGAAAATATTGAAAAGCTTGAATGAAACCATGCATGTTATCTCTGCTTAGAGTAAAGAACACTTTCATGAATTTTTGTGGTAAAAATGCTGTTTTTCTGAACTCAAGTAACCTCAAATTTCCATCGCCGAAGTGAGCATTATCATTTCAGATTGGCAAGATGTTGTTGCTCACTCCTAATCTTTCAATATCATATTCATTGAATAAAACACATAAACTCACATTTTCACAGGTGTTTATCTAGTCGGTCGTGTATATCTTAAACCTATACCCTGAAATAGTTGAGAAATGAAAATACAGAGATGTTCATTGTATTAAGTGGATTTAGAAAGAAGGTAGCATGAATGTCCTAAAATATACTTTCATTTTTGAGGATATTTTTGTGTTGCTTCATATTGTCTGCATTTCTATCACATATCAGTTCATGCTTAACTTTATGACTAAATATAGTTCAAAAAATATGGTTTGAGTAGTTTATCTGGAAAAAAAAACAGCACTATTTTGTTAATGAGTTAAAAGCTTAAGTTAAAGAACGAGCAAGTTTCATCTCATTCTCACTGTACTCTCTACAAGCTGAAGCCAAAGGGCTAAAACTATACATGAGATTAGTAGGTGCTCAGTTAATATTTGTTATTAATTAACATTTAATTGGTTGTCTTTCAGAATGTCATATTATTTTTTTCCTTTTGAACATCATCAAAATGACAAATTCTGTGTTAAAATGTTGAGGAAATTTTTAAACTAAGTTAAAAGTCCATCAAACAAAATATAAACTCTCAAAATGTTGAAGAGGATTTTTTTTAAACCCCAAAGTTCTCTGATTATAAGAACATTTAATTTCTTAATTTTAGCAGTTTGTATGGGTTGCAGTAATCACAATTCATAAAAACCTAGTTAAAACAAGAAAAATATAGAAAGATTTGTAAGTAATTTTGGAGTTATTACAATTGTCAAATCAGAGTTAGTTTGATAATTTCAACCTTCTTTCTTCATTTTTTAAATGTCTAGGGCTTAATATTTTGAATATTATAGGCTCAACACTTAATATCTCCTTCTTGGTTTTTACTGGCTCTGTTGGGGCCACTGGGGGATGTCTATATCACCATATCTATATTAGCAGATTGCCCAAAGAAATCAGGGTAAGTCATTCTGGATAATAATCAGGCACAAAATATAAACATATATATATATATTTAAGAATTTAGGGGCACCTGAGTGGCCCAGTGGGTTAAGTGTCTGCCTTCGGCTCAGGTCATGATCCCAGAATCCTGGGATCGAGCCCCACATTGGGCTCCTTGCTCAGTGGGGAGCCTGCTTCTCCCGCTCCCGCTCCCCTGCTTGTGTTCCCTCTCTCACTGTGTCTCTCTCTGTCAAATAAATAAATAAAAAATCTTAAAAAATAAGAGATTATTTATTATTTATTTGAGAGAGAGAGTGTGTGTGCATGTGCAGGCACACAAGGGGTGGGGGGCAGAGGGGGGAAGGAGAGGGAAAGAATTTTAAGCAGACTCTGAGATGAGAGGGGAGCCCAACCAGACTCCATCCTAGGACCCTGAGATTATGACCTGAGCCAAAATCAAGAGCCTTGGATGCTTAACTGACTGAGCCATCCAGGCACCCCAGGGCACAAATTATATTTAATAACAAATTTCAAGAGTACAATTTGACCCCACTGTATTAATTTGTAAAATTTTATTTATTTATTTATTTATTTATTTACTTACTTACTTACTTATTTGCTATTTATATTCCAAATTACATTTTAGGATGGAAATCTGGCTCAGTCACTATGGAATATTTTACCAAAATGCATTGAAATAATATTCATTTAAACCTAAATCTTTGGGGGGAGGGGCAGCAGCCTTTCCTAAATGCTCTGAGGCACTTTAGCGGCAAAAGGAAGTCTAGGGACACCCCCAATGTACCATTCCTAGTACACTGTTTTCTTCCATACCTCAGCCATTGAGTTGAGGTTCATGGACACTGATCTACTAGAGTAATTCTCATTTTTACATTTTGTTCTGTATTTCAGTTATAAGCACTTGTGAAGAACTAGACAGGTTCAAAACACCAGGTCTAACATCCCTTTAGGAATAATGTTGGGAACCAAAGCAACTTTAAGAAAGAATTAAAATGGCATAAACAGTAAAGCAGTATCAGTTCAGTCTTTTAGTAGGAAACTGGCTTGAATGATAAGGTCTGGCTGATATTGGGATTTACTCCATGTGTTTAAAAAGTTTTACTTAGCAATTGAGTTCTATAAATATGTTTAGGTAAGGTTATTAAACTATTTATGATGATAAAAATTATTCAAGTACTTTAGGAGATTATAGTAACAAATAGGCACATGATTTTTACTGACAAATACAATTACACTGAAAAATTATATTTCTTCAAATATCTTATAAATTACAGCTTTTAGGGTAATGGATTTTTGTGTCTTGCTTTCAGTGATATTAACTGTATTGCCTACCTCTTACAACACTTAACATATTTTATTTTGCCAACTAATGGTAAACCCATAATTTGTTCATATTTATTTATATAGTGTGTATATTTGAAAATTATAGAAAAAAGTATTCATTATACAATACAAAACAATATAAACAAAATTGTTCTGAGTCAGTAGATTTCTGAGGAAATATATTCACAGAATAAACTATATCTATATCTAAGAATATAGCAGATGATACCAATTATTTAAAAGCAAGGCTTCTGTAACTTATACTGAAATTTATTAACCTATTGTTAGGAACAGACTAGTTCTTTGATATTAATTCATGAAACTTAATTTGAATAATTCCCTTGCTAATTTATTCATAAAACAGAAAGATAATAATGATGAATTCTGCTTAGTGTTTTTTACATGTCATTCAATACTTTGATGTACTTAAAAAGTAACTATGAAAATGGATAAATATTCATTCAAGGTTTTGATCTCTCTAATACAGACATTTTCAAATAATTTTGAAAAAAACTTTAGAAAAATAACTGTGACTGTAGTCTACTTAGATTATTCTAACTTAAAGTAAAATTTAAAATAATATGTAACCATAAAAAGGCCCAGGAATTTCCTCTGAGAAATGAAGTAAAACTATAATTAAAACAAAAAATGGTTAGACTTTGAAGAAAAGCCAAATGTTTGTATTAGGGTGACCCAGGAAAGTGCGAAGTTAATCAGAAATGACTTACATCATCAAATAGGTGCGTTTTTCTGCCATATTTCCATAAAACTCCATAGATTTTTAGTTGGGTACTTAAAAGTGGGCAGTGGCCTCAGTTAGTGGATGTCACTTTCTGAGCAGCCTTCAAAATCAACCCAGACCCTGGCAGGCTAAAAACCTCAAAGGAATGACTTCTGTCTCTTTGGTCCCTGTCTGGGGTGCCTGCCTCACTCCTTCTGAGCTATATGGCTCGTCACTCAGCCATGTGACTGCCCTGGCAGGTCATGTACCAGGCCTTCAAGGAGACTGGCCAGTGAGCAAATTAAAACTAGCTGGCCTAATCCAGCCTCCTCCTTGTTTTTGTAAATAAAGTTTTACGAGATCACAGCACACCCTTCTGTTTACAAATGGTCTAAGGCTGCTATTGTGCTACAAATGTACAGCTGAACAACAAGTCATACACAGAACGTGTATGACTTGCAAAATATGAAAAAAGTTAATATCTGGTCCTTTACAGAAAAGTTTTCCTGACCTCTGCTATACCGCACTGAGGATTAACTAGTTATTACTCTACCAACAACATGATTTAATTTCAAAAACAGTATTGACCAAAGGGTGGTTGACATTATGAGATTTCCTTTATTTATTTAAAGTTCAAGAAAAAGGAAAATCTAATGGTTGGTTTTCCAGTCAGTTTGGGATTATCTTTGGGGGGGGGGGGGAGTGTGATCCACAGGCACATGGGCAATACAGTTAGTATTATGAGAATATTCAATTTCATGGTTTTGTTGGCAGTTACATGAATGTGTTTACTTTTTTGAGCCATACACTTGTGATTTGTGCATTTTTAAATGTGAATATTTCAATAAAAGTTTGAAAAGGAAAGGAAATAAATTGTCATGGAAAGCAGACTTGAATCTATTCATGCCATCATACTTAAAAAGCGAGCATAAGTCCTAAGGGGTAACTTGTATAGGAACTGATAGCATCATGAACTTCAAGAGTTTTCCTGTGTCAAGTGCATGAAGGTAGTCTCAGCTGAGCATTGGTTTAAGTGGTCCATAGTAGTCACAATGATCCCAGGCTCCTATACAGGGAGTACAATGGTTAGTGTGATATGCAAAATCATTTTTAGTAAGAAGTACCCTCAGCTATATGTGGAAAATCTCTAGATGGGAAATAGAGCTCTGATTAAGACATATCAAGATCAACTTGCTTGCCATTCATGACTTGGGTAAGCAGAAAAACACAGAACCCAGGTTTCAGGAAAAAAGAAAGAAAGAAAGAAAAGAAAGAAAGAAAGAAAGAAAGAAAGAAAGAAAGAAAGAAAGAAAGAAAGAAAGAAAGAAAGAAAGAAAGAAAGAAAGAAGGAAGGAAGGAAGGAAGGAAGGAAGGAAGGAAGGAAGGAAGGAAGGAAGGAAGGAAGGAAGAAAGAAAGAAAGAAAGAAAGAAAGAAAGAAAGAA